CAGAGCAAACTGGAACCCAATTATTTTTTAATTCCAAATCTCAGAAACAGATCAGCCATCACAGAAACAACACAGTGAAAGGCAGAGAATGCAGAGCTAACTAAATCCCATCAATACATTTAACAAAATATTTCTTTTCATGTTAGATAAAGCTAGTAAGATGTTAAATATTACATTAAAAATCAATGCAGATATTGGGGGATGAAGCAATTTTGTCTTTTTTTGTCCCAGGTGCTAGAGATCATTATCCAATGTTTTACAAAAATTAAACAAATTAAACTGCTACTGTGTTGGCTGGAACCTGTCAGCATCCTAAATACTTTAATCTATGGGTTTTGTATATTGAGGACATCACTTTCTGTTCTTAATTACTGAATTCTAATCCAAGTACGGAGACATTTTAAAGAGACCTAGAGAACCAGCTGGATTTAACAGAAAAGCCGAGACCAAAAATCAAGAAGTAAATTATTGCTCATGTGCCTCTGAGACAGTGCCTAGACTGTACCTCCTGCTCTCGTGCATAATCTTCTCGGTCATACTCCTCCTCTTCGTGCTGGGTTTGCAGGGCTGCACTGTCAAAGTCGATAGACATCTTTCAGCTGAAATAGTGCGACTTCCCCCCTGCATGTACAAGATACAACACCATTATCTTTTATTGTCCGATTTCTCAATCAGTCTTGCATCAAAGCAGCTATGTTTTACACACACACAAAAAAAAAACTTACAAAACATATAAAGGGCGCAAGTTATCATTACATAACAGACATCTACTCATACATATTCATTTCACACAACTCCTACAGGAATCACACAATTTTAAATGCCTCATTAAGAATACTTCCTCAACAGTCTGTGCATCTTGGGTTTTTATTGCACAGACACTGTCATACTAAACAGTTATTTTATACTGCACTACAGTATGTATCACAGAACTGGAAAACAAATACAGACTGTTCTTTTTTTTTTTATTCTGGTCACACCATCCAATCAAACTATTATACCGGTTGGGGCCATTATAACCATTGCAGTTACAGTCAGCTTTGGCTAACCCCATCATCAAGCAGGTAAGGCCACACACCTTTCTCTCGACATGCTCATACACCATGCCCTGCCTAGAACCATTACAAATCGCCTTTCTGCTCTTCTTCACGTGTGTGATATCAGTTTTGCTAATTTCTGAAATTGCTATTAAAATTGAGAAGTTTATGATGGACCTATAGTATTATGATGTATTTTACACTTCTACACTAGACATTCTACACTTCTTGTTAAAAACTTTACTGGATAGCTTAAACTTAAGATGTATTTTTAACCCTACTTGAAACGTCACGTTGCAGAAGTTCATAGATTTTCGCTAATCCGCAAATCTATGCTGCCAATTGTAAATAGGAAAATAAGACAATTTAGTTTCTTAAGATAACTCCCTACTAAGTCCTATAATGAACGAAAATAAGATGTATTCTAATTACATACAGCTTTTAAGATTATATTAGGACTATTAATTACAAAATGATCTAGCTATATACGAAAAATGTCAAGTATGATTCATAGCGAATTGCAACATTCACTTACCGGGGAAACTAAATCAAAAAGCAGATTTAGTAGATCGGCTAACTCCCGCAATTTTCAACAGAAATGAAGCTCTAAAGATCCATTTCAACTACTTGTCTTACACAGCAATGTAAATATCCGAATCGCACCCATAACACACATAGTAACAACACTAGACTTGTAAACTATGGACTTGCTACCGCAATCGTAAAACCGACAGGCAAGATAACAAATCAGAATGTTGAAGGAACATAAGTGAGGCGATATAGACCAATCAGAGCAAAGAAAGAACTTAAGAGGGGAGGGCGTTTGCCGCATAGTTAGTATGCATTTAACAGCGTTGTCTGGTTGCCGGCTGTTTGAAAGCAGGCGCCAGGCTCAGCGGGAAGACATAGCCGCCGCTGATTGGTTGGAATGATTGCGTCAACACTCCTTAAAGGTAAAGTCTGCCCAGAACCCCGGTTCTTTGATTGCGTATTTAATGACGTATTTTATTTTAACCCCTTTAATTAGGGAAAGGGTTATACAATTTTGTACGTTTCACATTTGCTGGACGTGCCTAAAATATTTGTGATTTTTTTGACAAATTACTCCATACATTTTTATGGAAGAATTAACCACATGCCAAAACACATAGTAACAGCAGTAGATAGCCTTAGTGTTTGATGAAAACTTCTTGTTAAACCTTAAAATCAAGGTGTCTTGAACGTTTTTGATTATTATACTTCAAATATGACCTTCAAATAAACTGGATTAGAAATTGTTAAAAAAAACATAATATATGAAACCTGTGAAATTATAGTGAAATTTTGAGTAAAATCCCGATTAAGTTATCTTACTTTCACAGGCAGTTCTTACTATCTTAGAATTTAATATATAAATATAATTTTCACCACCTACTATAAATACTTTATAAGAAGAAAAACAATCAGTACACAAATACATGAATATTCTTCAGACATGATAATACGATTTCGTTAATGGGGCAATGTTCAAGAGAGTCGATAGTTTACTTGGGTTAATTTGGGGGGATAAATTCCAGATTCCAGTTACCCCTTGGGAATATGTTATAGTTTTATATCCTATTCCTAAGAAATTTGTTAGTTTGATCTAAACTAATCTTAAATCTGACAGTACTGACTTTCTCGATTTTACAGTTGATCTGTTGTGTTCTTTTTAAACACAAAGATGTTTATGTGCATTCTGAAAGAATGCAAAAGAAACTGACACATTTATGTTATCTGTGTACATTATATACAAAGTTGTTTTAGATGGATTTGCAAAACTTTATCTTTGAGCATTTAAATATGAATGTTAGATTTAAGGAGTTTAAATTTTTCTTTTCTGGACACTTCACTCAAAGTGCTTCACAGGTAATGGGGATCCCTTCCACTACCACCAATGTGCAGCCCCACCTGGATGATGCACCAGTCCACTTACAGTACCACACACCAGCTCTCAGTGGGAAAGAGAACAGAGTACTGAAATGAATTCACAGATGGGGATTATTAGGAGGCCATGACTGGTAAAGGCCAAGGGGAAATTTGGCCAGGACACCAGGGTAAACACCCCTACACTTTTCGAGAAACACCCTGGGGTTTTTAATGACCACAAACAGTCAGGACCTAAATTGTACTTCACATCCGAAGGACATTGCCTTTATTACACTATAGTCTCCCCGTCACTATACTGGGGCAGTAGGACCCACACAGACTGCAGGGTGAGCGCCCCCTACTGGCCCCACTAACACCTCTTCCAGCAGCAAGTTTAGCTTTCCAGGAGGTCTTCCATCCAGGTACTGGCCAGTACTCACAGCTCCTGAGCTTCAGTGGGTTGCCATGTTTTTTTTAGTTTAATATTATGTTTTTCTTTGCAATATTTAATATAGATAAAGAACATTTATAATTAATCTGTTGATAGTAGCAGGTAAATATCACATTCACAAAACAAAGACTGTCTAATGCAACTCTCTCCTTTAGTACTTATAAGGTGGAAATGCAATATTACTTTAACTGTTTTAAAAACTTGAAAAACAACAAGGCAATAAATACAGTCGTTGTATGTAAAATGTTAACTTATTGTGTTCAGATTTGTAATTACCTCTGGAATCATATTGTTTGTGGGGATTTTTTGTTCACTGCCTTTTCTTTTATACCTTTTCTCCTTTGTTGTGAAAAGTGCTCTACATCCTGCAGCATCCCAGAACCCATAATCATAGTAGTAAAACTACCTAGTAGTAAAACTACTTAAAAAAGTGAAAACTTAAATCTAGCCTTACTCCTTTGCGGAGATGATTATCCATGCTTAGTATTTTCAGCTCTTTGTTTTAAAAACAGACCAATTCCTATGATTGAACACTGAATGTGCGACCAGTATTACACCTTTCCTATGCGCTGGCATTAAATACTGATGTTCATAGCAAAAGTGTCATGCTGAATTCAAACAGCAAGGGAATGTGGTCACAATAATCAGTTGTTCTGTGGTTAATTATAGTGGATTATACTGAAGTGTAGTCAGTAAGGTGACGTGGCAGCTGACTAACAGTTGTACTATGGTCTCCTCCCACAGCCCAGTGACATGTTGTCTATGTTGCCCCTCTCCCCAGACTGTGGACCCTGTGAAGGCACCAGTCCAGGAGCAGTACCTGCTGTGTTAGTCTCCAAGTCAACACAACCCTCTAGCAGGGGGGCTGCCCAGTCCAGGTCCTGATGATTTAAATCAGGTTCATTTCAACACAATGTTTTTGTTACGAAGCGCTTTTCTGGACCCTATGCACATGGCATAATCCGGACAGGGGTGAAACGGACATGGGGAGGAGACGAGGAACCGGGCTGGTAGATGAACAGAGGGGCGTGACGACGGTGCACTGGTGCTCGGGGGGGCGTGGTCCAGGTGAACAAGTCTGAGGGAGTCCAAAGGGAAATCCAGAGCGAATGGCAAGAGTCCAGAGCCGGGTGATCCATCCAGGCCAAAACAAGACAAAGTTAAAAACCAGAACGGGATCTGGTGCAGGGAGAGGGAATAAAAATGGGAATAACGGGACCAGGCGCTCTGAGCCCCGAACTCAGCTGGGTCAGGACGCCGATAGGAGGCCTGTGCCATCAAGCCGCGGGCGTAGGGCGACTTGGTGGTAGACGGGCCTCCAGGTCAGGGCCTCTGTCTTCCAATGCAGAGCCCAGAATAGAGTGAGTGTCTGGCTTTTAAGGAACAGCTGGATTGGAGGCAGATGCACATGATCAACTAAAATGTGAAAGAACCGGAGCGCCCTTAAGAGGAGGGATTACAATCGTGACAGTTTTAAATCAGGTTTTAGTTTAAATCAATTATTTAATTTTCTAGAGCACTAGAAAACACGAGACCCACTTTGGTCCAGGACCCAGACTGAACACTCCTGTTTATGATACAGCAATTACCAAAAATGAATGAATGAATGCATACCAAAGCAGCTCTTTAGCATAAAAAATGTCGAGGCAATTAAGCATCCTTTCATTTGTAACCTTTCTTAATCACAGTCATGGAACTAGTTTGGGAGTCTTTTTATTTTTCACAAAACAAAATTAACGTTAAGAAGAATGTGGCCTCAAAATTGAAATAATGTACTGTATGTGCCCTATTCATCAAGCAGTAATAAAAAATATTCACATATTATTTTTAATAAATATGACAAAATATTCATGCACCACAACCTTGCCCTTTGGTGGTTTCCACCACTTGAAATAGAATCAATTTTAACTGAACAAGGGTAAATGCACACGCTTTCTAAAAAGGAAACGCTCAGCTACAATTTTCCTTTAGAACTTAGCTTTTTGGGTCTGTTTACAAGACCGTTATGCTTGCTCATTTAAAGACACAACTTACGTTTAGGTTAACTGCTAAAACTCCAAACAGGAAAACAAGCCATTAAAATATAAATTGCCTGCAATGCAGCAATGAAGTAAAATACTGCATTTGTGTATTAAATACAGGAAAACAGTATTAAGAAAGTGCACTGAAAAATAATAATCAAGTTGACTAACCTCCTATACAGCACTTATAGAAATTTGGCAACTGGTTTTAAGAATGAACAGAATTATAAGCTGCTACAAAATACATCTTTTAAAAAAAAATGTGGTAAAACATTAACTTTTTCCACTCTATCCTTTTAATCTAACAATGAATGCATCAAGGCACATTTGTAAAAGACAATTTCACCAGCACTGAAATCAAAGTCAGCCAACAAGCTGTACAGCTAAAAAGTTGTGCTTTCAGACGTCTTTTCACTTGAATGATTGAGCCCGGATTGTGCAGCATGTATATAATCATAGTGCCCAGAGATGGGAAGGATCCACTATGGTGAGGGTGACCATGCAAGGAAAGAGAACACAGTTCAACATTGTTTTTTGTTTTAGTTCACATTTGCTTTGAATCCATGTCCATGGTCACTATTGCTTCTGTACAACGGGCTGCTTCAGGCAGAGCTCACTTCCGGAAGAGACAATTGGCTGTTGATTGTCCATATGGTAGCGAATAAGATGTCCCACACTGTTAAAAATGTGATCCTTTGTCCTAACCTGAAATTAAGAAAAAAAAACAAGGGAAAAAAGAGGTTATGCAAAAAACTATCCACCCAGTATCAGACAGCTGCTTATTCCTGTTGAGGCTCACATCCACCACTGCCTGTCTTGGAATACTGGGGCACATGACAGGACAATACCCTAAACAGGCAATCAATCTCTTACAGGGAACACACAGAGACACAAATTTAGAGATGCCCAATAACCTTGCCAGCATGTGTTTGAGAGGTGAGAATGATAAAACCGTATGCACAACGTGCAGACTCCACACAGAAGGCTCTCCAAGCCAGACTCAACGCCAGGCCTCAGGAACAATGTGGTAGCAACACTATGTCCCACAGCTCTGTGGCCACACTCTGTAAAAATGTGTTTTTTTAATTCATGGTTAACGCTTCCTTCAAAGTTTTTAAATGGTCACTTCTATTAACTTACTCTTTTCCTATGAAAGCTGGTAAATGTGGACCTTATGATGATGATACTTACATTTACTTACGAACCAACCCTGACATACAAATGGCTGTGTCTCTTGCAGTTCATGCACCGTGTAGCTGTTTTTACACTTTGGGTACAATGAAATATTTTCCAACCAAGCGGAAATGAGACCATTAAGTCATTTACAGTAGGTCATGCTCCTAGGTTCTCTGCATGAACTGCAAAAATCATCATGTTCCATCGTGACTATGATTAGTGTTCACACAATTATGTGCACAAAAAAATGAAAACATTTGAGGTTTTCTTTCACACTAGTCAAAACTTTGAGTGTGCTTCACTAACATGTTTTTCTTTATTCTAGGAATATCGATGAGTTACAGTATGTCCTGTCAGTGCCTCGCAAGGTACAGCAATGAGACTAGTCCATGCTTTGTTAAACTAAACTAAACTCCACAATTCTATCTGCTGTGTCATCAAAGATCAACTTACAAAACTCAAGTCTATTCAAGACTCAGCACCTAGAGTTCTTATGCAGTCCTAAAATCCCTACACTGGCTTACTGTTGAATTTAACACAGGCTTTAAGATCTTGTTCTTGAGTTCAAGGCTCTAAAGTGATTTTTTCTCCTCTAATTTCCTGATCTTTTGGAGAATTACACCCTGAACCACACTCCCTGGTGGTCTCTTGTTTGTCCCTTCAAGAAGACTACTGAGCAGTGCCTAATTCATTGCCCATCACACCCAGCAGGGCTGTTTTCAGCTAAGAGGCATTTATAGCCTTATCTGTTTCAGATTACTATATGTGTAAGATGAAGCACAAAACAGCACTGGTACTGTATACTTTCAGAGAGGAAGCCCAAGTCATTGTTCTGACATTTGTTAACAAAATAATTGATACAAATGATACAAAATCATTTATTAAACAAAAAGAAACTATGGATATTTCACCTAGATAGGGCAAATGGCCCCCTTTCAATTGTAACAGTTCTTATATTCATAATATTTCACGGCTTTTTTCCACACTATTTGTGTTGTTCACATCCCAAAGCCAATACCCCAGGTGGCCCAGTGCACGAAGGAAAAGAAACGATGTTGTCTGGTGTCAGGGCTGCATACCATTCCCTCTGGATCCACCAGGAGCAGGTGTCTGGCAGTGTCCCCCTGGAGCCCGCTCAGCACATACTGGCCTGGGGAGGAGCTGCTCTCCCGCACCAGGAAGTCGCCGCTGTCGCTGAGCAGGCTCTCCGCCTCCCTCCTGCTCAGCCTGCCGTGGTACCACACCTCCTCCTGCAGCCGGCCCTGCAGGTGCTGGAGCACGCTGGACAGAGGGCCGCTGTACTCGGGCGCCGTGGACTCTGGCAGGACAAAACACAGACTGCAATCAGGGGAAGGTATGGATCTCAGCAAAGAGCCGGCCGGCAGCAGGCACTGTGCGCTCGTAGTTTTTCAAGAGCACGGTCTCATGTGTGTCTTTCCACTTTCATTGATTTCAATGTTACAGTAGTAATGCATTACACTCTTAAAAGCTAGGAAGCAGAGTCCCTTGCTGGTCCTTTACAAAAGTATCTGGTTGCCTTTCAAGAGGCCATTGAGATATCTGAGAAATCTCCGCTTTTTCTTGCAGCTGCTGTTCGATTTCAGTGTCCAGACAACTGAGGAAGCAATCTCATGAAAAATAATACCCTCCGTAATTCGCTGTTCCAGAACAATTTATGAAAAAATATTTTGTTGATTCTAAATCCCATCTTGTTTAGCATTCTTAAGATGACACACAAAAACTCTGCTTGGAATATTGGCTTTCTTTTTTCTAGTTGCAATAAATCCATCTTTTTTTTTTCGTTCTACAGAAATCCCCTGAAACAATATGTACTACCTATTTGTGTAATTAGAAACAGAAGTTTTAAATATTGTAGCACAACAATAAAAAATGTTTTTATTCAATGTATAAAGTGTAAAGTATAAAATGTATAACTCAGCATTTGTAACTAGCCATTACAAAGGCGAAGTTAACAAAGAAAAACAATATTCACAGTTTTGCACTACTGCACAACTGTATTCAGGAGCCTGTGACACAGTGCCTGTGCTCTTGCTGTACAGAATGAGAGATGTGTCTGGCTGTGACACAGAGGTTATTATTTTTATGTAGTGTCCTTTCATTTATTCACTCTTGGGCATACAGATGTCCCACAGCTCAGCATGCCATTAATAATGCACAGCGGTAATGTCTTTCTCCTAATTGCTTTGCAGGGTATCATGTACTTTAATAGTCTAATAATGGTTTCCTTAATATTCTTCTGTGCTCATCCAAGGTTCAGATAAAAAATGCAAGAGGGCTCCCAACAACAAGGCACAGCACTCATCAAACTGGTCAAGATGGTTCATCAATTGTTCCTTTGCGGCCTTTTATAAATACCAAAATAACTGTTATCCCTGGCAAGCCTTGTGCAAAACCAGCAAACTGGACAAACTGAGCAAAAATCCCACTATGTACTGAATACACAACTGAACTGCTTCTAATGCACAAAACAGCTCTCATTACTAACCAATCGTTAATTTTCTATCTGCTTCTGCCTATTCAGGGTCAGGGGGGATCTGAATCCTATCCTGGGAAGCAACAGGCCTGTCCAGCACAGGGTAGACACAAACACAGACATGCACCCATTCGCACCTGGGCCATTTTTCCCAGGTGCCAATTAACCTTCTAGTTTGTTCTTGGACTGTGAGAGGAAACCAGAACACCCAGAAAAAACCCACAAGAACATAGAGAGAACATACAAACTCCACACAGATAGCACCCCAAGTCCGGATTTGAACCCAGGGCCCCAGCGCTGCAAGGCAGCAACGCTAGACACTCTTTTATCAGATGTTAAATTCTGAAAGGCATGTCTTGCATTCCAGTTAATGTGGGATCTTGAACCTTTAAGGTTTCATTTTGTTCAAGTTTTATTTAATATTCGCAATAAGTTGCCCTGCTCCATGCTCTCCTTGGGCTTTATGCCTCAGACATTGCACCTTGCAGGCACTCACCTGCAGCAGGAAAGAGCTGCTTTTGTGCCAGCGAACAGTTTTCATACACATTGAGGTGCTGTGGGCTGCCAGCCTGAAAGACAATAAAAACGCAGGGTGACTCATCCAGGAAGCAGAAGAGCAATTTGAAGATGCATACACTAACAAAAGGGTGGGTTTGTAGGTAGGTGGCGGAAATGAGCCCTTGGAAGCAATCGTCTTACCCATTTCAGCTCATCTTTTTCTGCCCGACTGTGGCCTTGCGGGCTGTGGATGGTTGCCACCTTAATTCTCATGTCCAGTATCCCACCTGGGGGCGGGTCTTTGCCTGGGATTTCGTTGTAATACTCATGGATCTCGCCACTCTCCGGAGCCCAGGCACTGCTGTCAGCTTCCTCGGCTCTGCTGGAAAAGCAGCCGTGAGCACAGGAAGAGATCAATGAAGCTGAAAATTACATAATCAACTTTGTTTAATAACTTGCATCCTGAAGTCTGGACCACTACACAGACATTCCAAGAAAACAGAACATGAAGAAACACAACAATAAACACATTCACTCTTTCAACAGAGCCTCTCAGTGCTGCCGATTCAGGGGTTTAGGAACCCCTCCTTCCGAAAACATTTAGGCAGCAGGAATGAAGTAGCTGAGTACTAGTGTGTGTTTCCAAGGATACTAATTTCACATTCACAGCAGAGTCAGGGAACTACTTAATGCACTTCAAGAAATGAGAGAGGAAAACCCTGAATGATGAAGGCAGGCCAGCCCAGAGCGTTACTGCTGTGAGATATACAGCATAAAATGCAAAAGATAGAGTGGCCTTGCTTCAGTTTGCTTAAGTATATTACACAGCAATCCTGTTTTGGTTTAATATGCACTGTGGTGCAGGAGATGGAGGAGAATGACCCATCTGCCTTAGCCCCTGTTGGTTTGACTCTTTTGAAATAAGATTAATTACATTAGATCACATTTATTTAGTCGTGATTTCAAACTTCCTGACATTCTTTTATCGTTGTGGTCATGGGGCAGTGGTTCAAGTCCCCAGTGTGGATACTTTCATGGTGTCAAGATGTCCTACTCTGATTGTTCCAGTTCCACCCAGCTGTAACAGCCATAACTCTGTAAAGGACTAGTGTCTCTTTCAGAGGAGAGCTAGATGGTTCATAAACCAGCAGAAGTTCCAGTCTGCTGAGCTGCCAACCTGGAGTAATTTGATTTTATTTTATTCAGTTAAAGACAGGTATTTCTTGCACTGTGGGTGAAACAAGATTAACCACCAATTTATGAAGTGTAATAAAATTCTTTGTTAAACGTATGTGTCTTTTGTCATTCAAAACATGTTCACCCTTGTGCTGCGAGTGTGTGAATAGTGGGAAATGTCTTAGTCCAGGGGTTCCCAACTTTAGGGAGCCATAAGGTCCAGCACATCTCATAGGTCAGCCTTAAATCATCAGGGTGTAAAAACATGATAAGCGTGACATTTTCATTTCAAAATGCTATCCAAACAATTTTCATTTCAAATTATATCCAAACAACTTAATTGAATGTATCGCATGCTTAACAGAATTAATCCAAGTGCTTAGAAACAGATCATTCAAAGGTGACCCAGAAACTTTACTGGATTGTGACTCTGCAGTACTCAGTCAGTTAACGTGTAGAAGATTTGAGCATCTGCAACTAACCATGACATCTTACTATTAAACTAAACATTCACCTTTAAGAGTCAGAAGCTAAATTTTACATCAAGACATTTTTTACTCTTTGTGTTCTGAGCAGAAACTTGTCCTTTTGGCTGGATAACCCATGATATATCTTCAGTAATGGAAAGATGAGTTCACTACTCTGACTCAGTTCCCGGTCATGGAGTTGGTGGCGATATGTTGGTGTGCCAAACCAGCATTACGCACAGTGCCCACAGCAGGGACACTCTCTTCTGGCCCTGTACCACACTGCAGTGTTAAAATACCACGAAAATGAAGAGACAGATACATAACAGTAACTACAATTTACAGAAGTACGCATTATTCACATTAAATAGAAAAAAGTGATCAGCTATTCACTAACAATATGCAGTTGTTAGTGAAATAGACTTAGGTGTTTATCTCGACACATCAACAAGGTGAGGAAGCAATAAAAAAGGTAAAAAATGCCCAGACTTGTAGTTAAAAGCATAGAATGTAAATTAATGGATGTTATGCTTAAAAATTGTTTTCCATTTTAGTAACCATGTAAAAAAAGATATGACTGCTCTGGAATCAGTCCAGAGAAGAGCAGCCAGAAGCTGGAGAGGGTGTCCTACACTGACAGGGTGGAAGAACAGACTTTTGAACAGAGGAGGTTGCAAAGAGGCCTCATTCAAATCTTCAAAGCATGTTGAACAATAGCCATGTTGTTGACAAGGTCTTCTTTCAAGAAACAGTTTGTCGAGATCCTTGGCTCAAACAACTAAGAAATGTCTAAAAGGGGCAATTCTGAAGGCAGATGTGGGGACTGATGAAAGTTTTAACTCAATCTCTAGAACGATGTTTACCAAGTTTGGATTTAAATCTATCTATCAGTCACTAAATAGGAGCAGTTTCCATTGCAGGCCACATTTTATCAATCAGCTGACAACTGGATGTGAGCAGTAATTTGTACTTACAAGGGAACTTGTAAATTGCACATCACAAGCAGGTTTAACGAAATGTACTAAATTTGAATTCAACTGGTGAAGCAGTTCCAGAGATACAGGTAGATTTGTTAAGTGACACGAAACAGTGGTCTGGTGGACATCTTCGTATACACAGTAATTGGGTTGCCAGTGTGCCTTATGTTAATTGTACGCTCACTAGAATAATACTTAGCCAAGCAGAACAGGAGAAATTAGTGTTAACTTTTCTTAACTGTTAGAAGAAATGGGGATCATACAACTATCTTGGTTTACATACTGAAGGCAGTCCATTCGGACATATTCACATCATTTTGACACTAGAGTGACACAATGTTTCAAATGAATGGGTCGAAAAGTTTCTGAGTGTTTGTGTTGCAGGCAGCATTTTGCAGAGCAGTTTATGAGCAATTGTAGGATTAGTAAGTATTGCAGCAACTCTTGTGCAAATCTGGGAGGTTTCAGGTCAATCTTTGAAGCAGTTCCCAAGGAGAACATTTTAGAAGAGTTTTCAAACAGACAGGGCAAGCCACCTTCCAGGTTACTGCAGCCTTTTTGTCACACAGCTAATGTCTAATTTTTCTAGTACATTTGGCTAGTAAGAGGTTGTCAGGTTGTCTGATCATCAAACTACAGACACTAGAATGAGCTCTGGCCCTACTCGTCACTCTGGTCAGAATGTCAGAACCCATGCTTGGAACTGAAGCCAGGGCTCTAGCACTGTGAGGCCACCATGCTACCCCCCCCATAGTCTACTGTATGTACAAGAAAAAGCTAAAAAGTTCACCTTTGCTTTGCTGAAATAAGAGAAGATGGATGATTCAGGAACTGCCGGAAGCGAAGTTCGAAAGCTTGTCCTATAGTGTTTATAACCTCCTGTGCCAGTCCTTCAGGACATTCCAGAATATGGCAAGCTGAAAAACAATGAAGAGCAGCACTTCAGCTGGCAGCAGACACACAAATCAGCTTCACGCTCACAAAAAAGAAACAAGGGTACCAAAAAGAAATGCGGTGTTCATCTCTGTCAGCATGAATTATGTCATCTTTATATTTTTCACATACCTCGTTGATTAACAGGATCTTTGGCGACGTAAGCAACATGATCCGTTGTATCCTAAAAAAATCCACAAGGAGTTATCATTGAAACATGTATTTTACGATACGATGGTATCAAACCATTTCAGAAAGCAATATTTCTAACAATAACCACATGCATGAATGCAATCCCATGTATTTGTAGTGACATGGAACTGCCTTTTACCAAAATAATAACTTCAAAGGGTAAAGATTTGCAACATCCTTGATCTCTGGGTGGTAGCTGTGGGCATGATTAAGGCAAAGGTTGGTAAGGAATTATACTACACTCCTTTAAAGAGAATCCAGATTATTTTAGAAGGGAGTTAAAGGTATTCTTAAAATTCCAAAAAATGAAAACTGAGCACTCATTATTTTGCACATCAAGTGATTGCAAAAACACAAAATGTTCTGCAGGGGAGTGGAGTTATACCTGGAATCAGTGTCAGAGTGGAAAAGCAATTTTTTCAGTCAACAGGAAACAAATATCTACATTTACAATGGCCCAAAGAGCCAGGATTTAATTACATGTTGTTGCTCCTGTGGGTTCTGGCTCTGTTACGTCTGCTTCCACAGTTGAGATGATGAATAATACGTGACAGGAATCGGGAAGGAAGGGGTGCTCTTGGGGAGACCTGCTCCAATAATTAAATCACTGTGCGCTTATCAATTACCTTGCTTTCCTCCCTGCATTTACTAAACACCGCGTCTCAGACTTCGATGAGTTTTTTTTATTACTGTGTCAATTAACTTTTTTTTAAATCCACTAAATGAATTCGACTCTTCATTTGCTCCTGCCCACACAAAGTGCCAGAGCACTTTGAACAGGAAATAAAAATGCCCTCAGCGCTCACAGGAGAGGAAATTGGAAAGGCATCCTTGTTGCACTTTACTTTGTGTTCGTTTTTACAGCACCCAATGCCAAACTCCACCCCCTCTCCTCCTAAAGCTCACTCACAGGATCTCCTCCGGAGGCAAACGAAATGGACTGCATATGGTGGTAGGCAACAATCTGTGGGAGAGAGGAAGAGGCAACTGTTTTCTGCTGAACAAGAATCAGGATAACACGTGGGCACTGTTCACAAGCTTTCCTACACACAGCCTTTCGCCACAAACTCCAGGAACCTCTGTATGACAAGACACCTACTGCGCTCACAGAACAACATCCTGCACTTGTATTTTGTTGTTTGTATTGTTTTCCTTTTTAGATTCTCTCTTTTTTTAAAAAAAATCTCCCCTGCTAAGCTTTGTGATAACTGTTGCTGAAGAACATGAGATTCACTTCAGATTACATCTCTACCACATTAGACTAACACCTGCTTCAATCTTTAACTCACATTCCTCAGCAATGCGCAGCAGCAATTTTTATCTGCATTTCCCAGAATCCACCAATATTACTCTTCTCACATAGCATTTTCAGTTAGGTGAGCACCACATTTTATTTTTAAATAAGCTGTCTCAGGTGAGAATTTCCATAAACAAGAAATAATGATAGCACTACACTTGAGGCCGATTCACCTTTTCCCTCCTTTTTTTATGCTAAGAAAGTATTCTCTTTCTTAGGCTAAGACATTTTCTCTTACCTGCTGAGTGTCAACTGTAGTTAAACTCAGGCTGTTTGTTGAGATTGTCAGTTTAACATTCATTCCCGAAAACTGCATATTGCTTTTGCCTAAAACCGCAGACAGTCCCTTGCTTGGAAGCTAGAAACAAATGAAAAAAAATACAGCACGTGTCAAACCTACAACCAACCTGACTTCCTTCAACTCCCATTAAGAAGAAGACACTGTTCAACAACAAGCTGGTAGACATGCACGCGAGAGAAAGCGAATGCACTAAAAGGCAAAATGCGCACTTCCTTTTTGTCACTTTGCGAATCTTTCAAAGCTGCAGTATGAATGCCAAACTGATGAAAGAATAAGAAACAATGAGGCTTGCGAGGTTCAGTAAGTTCAGTAAGAACAAGGGTGCCAGAGCCACACTGACAGGAACCGCAAGACGGTGGATTGGCGGCTTCCTCACCTTCTTCTTTCTGGCAGCTCCTTTTGCCCCTGGCACAGCGTCACACAGCCGGCTGATGGCTTCCCTGCAGCAGCACAATGACACACAACACATTAGGTGCAGGACAGCCACAGGAAGACAGCTGATGACACAATGGATGTCCGCACCAAGCGAGAGAATAATGCCCCACACCTCAGTTTCTGGGATACAAATCTGCCTTTTGTTCACGTATAATAAGCTGGCAATGAATGTTTATCTTTTGAAAATATTTTACAAATGATAGCAACCTGCAGAAGATCAATTTAATCATTCCGAAAAGCCGTGTTAACGAGAGGCCACCATTGCATTGAGAAGAATTAACCAATCAAGTAGGACCGGAGTGGACACAACGGCATCATGGCATGCTTTATAGGAAACAGGTCCATTCTTGCTTTTATGTGGAGTTTTGGTATCTCAAAGGTGGCAATCATGCAACAAACCACAGGTTGCACTTCCTGTTTTGCAGGGCGGTCTTTCCTTCGACTGCAGACGGAATCCTCTGCATTGAAAAAGAGATGCCCGGAGGCACGGGGAGATGGCTGAGCTACAAGTGGGGTCTGCTGGCACAAGAGGGGGTCCACCAGTGCAGGACCTCTTGGCACATGAGTGTCAGCTGGGCACAACTACTCAGGAACAAGGCAGTCCTTTGTCTAATCTAAAACACAAGTAGCAGAACTCGTGCCCTGTCGTTTTCGGAGCAGCTATGTTTATTTCCCCTCAAGCACTGGTGCTTGACTTTAGTCAGGAGTACTAGATTACTGTTGGATTTACAGTCTCTCAATGAAGAGATCATCAAAGATAAAAGTAATTAAAGTAAAGAGAGTGCAGGTCCTGTAGATAGCATCTTACATATTTTGTGAATGGACAGCCTTTGAATATTTTAACAGTTATTTCATCAAGAGCAATTCCCAGGCAGGGTAATAAGGAAAAAGAAGAATTATAATGACCATTTTTAGTGAGTCAGATATCATCCAGACAATATAAAGTACTGTCCAATATGCTAACAAAAGACGATGTGCTGTGTAACTAGGTTGCTGAAATATCAATGGCATGGAAGAGGAGAACCAAATCGATAGCACATTTCCTTCCTCCCCCAGCCTTCTACAGTACGCGTCTCCTCCTCGGGGTCAGTTGCAGGGGATCCAGCCAGCCTTCACTGATGAAAGTGGAGAGCTGACACCCACGCCTGCTCTCCGGCTGTGGTGCGAAGAAAGAGCACAGCAGCTGCGACCTGGAGCTCTGCTCTCCTTCTCTGCGGCACAGCAGGCTGGCAGGCACTCTCTGAGCCCGGAGGGCGCACCACTGGCCACACTCCTCTCTTCTACACTAATCAGTGATCACTCCTGGGACTACTGCGACTATTGAGTATTTAAACTTGTTGAGTTTTTTTAAATCTAGACTCTTTGATGAAGTGATCAGTTCTTTAACCCTACACTTTATTGCTGGGTGGTTGTAGTCTGTGTGGGTCCTAATGCCCCAGTATACTACCAGGAACACTATACTGTAAAAAGCCACTGTCTTTTGGATGAGACTTAAAACTGAGGTCATGACTCTCTGGGGTTATTACAAATCCCACTGCATTTCTCCAAAAAGAGCAGGGGTATCACCCCAGTGTCCTGGCAAAACGTCCCCCTGGCCTTTACCAATAATAATAATAATAATAATAATAATAATA